TTCACTCCAAATCTTACCAGATCTTTCTCAACAATCATGAAACTTCTTCAAGATGTTTCGGTTTTGTAAGCAATGTACGTGACAACTTATGCGACACCTTCTCAATTTTACCAAAGCCTCCACATATGATATCATGACATCTTATCAAATTTTATGATTTTCGGACTTCCTTTGTTTTTTATAGAATTTAAAAACCATTCAACCACACGCTCAGGGTCGTGTTTCCAAAATAAGATGTTCGAAAACCCTTATAATCTTATAGGTAAGGCCTCAAACTGGGTTGAATAACATATCAATTTTATACTCATTTTTTCTAAATATTTGAATCACTTGCAGTTCAAATTCAACTTGATTCAAAAAATTGCTTGAAATGCAATTAATTAGTTAAATATAGCAAATAAATTCAAAAATACACCAAACTTAAGTATGGAGTACCACATGTGGTATGTGGAGAGGTGAAAATTTTTGAAGTGCAGGAATAAAAAAAAACTTTGCCGAGTGTCTGCTTTTGACACTCGGCAAAGAGCCTCTTTGGCGAGTGTTGCATTTGTACACTCGGCAAAGAGCTGACGGCGGCGGGCTGGTTTAACGGCGGGCCAAATTTTGCCGAGTGTCAGACGTTGACACTCGGCAAAGAAAGTCTTTGCCGAGGGTATGTTTGAGCACTCGGCAAAGAGGACGTCTTTGTCGAGTGCTGATCCTGAGCACTCGGCAAAGACCAGCTTTGCCGAGGGTCGTGTCGTTGTCGAGTATTCGAGTTTGGGCACTCGACAAAGACAGCCTTTGTCGAGTGCCCGAGATAAAAAACTCGACAAAGTTCTTGGCACTCGGCAAAGCTCGTGATTCCGGTAGTTATGTGGTGCCGTCGCCTAAGTCGCGCGCTCGCGTAGACCCGCTGCGAGCCGCCCTCATTTCTCCGTGCGGCCGCGTTGCTGCACCACGAGCCACCGTCGTCAAGCCGCGCGCCCGCGTAGATGCCCCGCGGACCGCCGTCGCCTCTCCGTGCGGCCGCGTTGCCACACCGCGAGCCCCGGTCGCTTCTCCGAGCGGCCGCCGCGAGCCCTGTCGATCGGAAGTTTTTTGCACCGGCCACATGGGATCGCAGGGTGCGGGCAAGAATGAAACGATTCGGTCTCAGGTGAGTTTCATCGGGTTTCATTTGTGTTGGCAACTGTGACGGACGATGAAACTCTATTTACTTCTCTCTTCATAGATATCCTGCCAACTCATCAAAAAAGCTTATGTGGCATAGCAATAAATGAGAATGAAATTCTGTCGAAACCTCCATTAAGACTGGCCTTAGTGAACTTGATAAAGAGTTTGTTGATCAAATACAAACAAGATTATTTATTTTCATTTGAGTCCACAAGCATTTTAATTTGATGATGATTTGATTAATGGGATGGCACTACAACCAGCAGGCGTGCAACCAAACATTATCAGCTTGCCATGGGTGAATTTTAGCTTGCCACGGTCAGAACACCAGTCATTGGCCATAGCGTGTGCACACTGGATCTGCACAACGAGAACACGAGCGATGATATCATGTCGGAGCACGAGCCACAGCCGGCGCCTCACCAGACGATGGCTACGTTCTCTTTCTTCATTTAATCAGGCAAATTTGCATCGTTTAGTGCGTACAGACGGCATCAAAACATGCGTTGTACGTGCCCTTATACACCAGTTTGGCGATCTAAAATATTTGTATGATTGGCATAAGGCTTTATATAGTCCAGCTTGATGAATTAGGAGTGTTCGCTGCTTAGGAGTTGCTTCAGTAATGGGTTTTGCAAAGTTCGGACTTTTTGGGGAACTGGACGCATACAGATGCTAGGCCTTGTTTAGATTGAAGATTTTTCAACCCGATGAATAGTAGCACAGCTTATTTGGTAAATATTGTCTAATCGTGGACCAACTAGGCTCAAAAGATTCATCTCGTGATTTTCAACTAAACTGTGTAATTAGTTTTTTTTTTTACCTATATTTAATACTCCATGCAAGCGTCCAAAAATTGATGTGATGGAGAGAGAGTGAAAAAACTTGGAATTTTGATGTAAACTAAACAAGGCCCTAATCAGCATATTCAAACTAAATGTCATCATTCCTTTTGTTTTTCAATTTGTTTATTAATACAATTGTTGTAGCCATGCTTTGCAGTAAAGCCATGAACACTGCAATGGATTTGTTAAATTATTTTGGCAGCAAATGAAGCATTCATCCGGGTACTGTCTGACAACTCACTTTATTTTTGAATTATTATCTCGGGGGCTTACGTACCGTACCTGCCTGCTCCTAAGAAATTTTAACCTCAACAATTGGCACAACAAATGGAGTCTAACTCAAAACGGCCTTATGCACTATGCAATTTACTTTAACTTCTACATGGCTTATAAGCATTGTATTTGCTTCTGACTTTACTGTATTTGTGCCAATCTAGATTGCCCAATTTATTGGATGAATAAATCAACCATTACTGTATTTCTGCCACCCCAGGGCGAGCTGCGGCCATCCCACGTCCCGCTTGGCCCGAATTCAACGAAACTTTTAATTTTTTGGAAACACTTTAATTTTCAAGGCACCTTTGTCTTCGTGTGTTGACTTAGTCAACAAATAACGAAGAGGTTGTTGTTGCAAAAAAAAATTGAAGTAATGATTTTGAAACGGGCGAGAAGGGGGCGCGATGCACGGGCGGTAACATCAATTTTTTTAAAAAAAATATGAGAATAATAACTTTGGTGATTTTTGTCATTTTATATGAATTTTGTAAAACAAGATTGAATTCTAACTTTTGCAACAAAAAAGTACATCTATGCTTTTTGAACAAGCATCGCTTCAATTTTTTGGAGCTACATAAATATGTTTTTGGTTGAATCTTAATGAAGTACTTCAAATTTGATAGAAATAACTTTCGACTTAATATGGCCCGTGATGTTAGCACGGGCAAATATACCGGTGGATGTAAATGGAGATCTTCAAGAGGAAGTCTATATATGTGCGCCAACCACATGGCTTCACTAATCCTAGTTCTATAGGCAAGGTACTCATGCTGAAAAAGGCCTTATATGGGCTGCACCAAGAGCCTGGAATGCCAGGCTTAAAACAGGAACTAGTAAAGCTGGGCTTGAACAGAAGTGTGGAGGAACATGCTGGGTACCGGAGAGGGACATGCCAGCGTACATGCATACGTGTTCGTGACGACCACGACCTCACCTCGACGTACTATACGTATACTCCTCGACGGCTACATGAGCACGGCCGCGACCACAGCGCCTGCTACGACGGCCGCCCGGGCAACGGCCTCGTCGACCTTGTAGTAGTGCTTCAGAGCGGCAGCCGATGAGTTATCCGACGGCGGCGGTGTTATGACGGAGCGGGCGCCTGGCCGCCGGTAGTGGTAGTATTAGGTGAAGGCGATTCTGGCGGCTTCGTTACCGGAGCCGGGGCTGGACTCGAGGGCGGCTGTGCCGGCGGGGCGCTGCCGACGACGTCGACGAATAGCTTGAGGCCCATGTCGCAGTGGTCATCGAGGCTGGAGAAGAACCAGCGCCTCCCGGGCCTGTCCAGGTTGACGGTGTCGTTGCCGGAGGTCCACTCGTTGATCGTGTTGCCCTGCCGGTAGCACTCCCTGAACGTCTGGCTGTCCACCTCCGTCACCGACTATAGTTTTCCAAACGGGCCAGGCCCACTGGGCCGGCACGGGCCCGGTGCGAAAAAGCACGGCACTGGCCCGGTGCGGCACGGCTTGGCCCGTGCCTGTGCCTGGCCCGGCCCGCCACCGTGCCCGTGCCTGGGCCTGCACACCGGCCCGTAGTGCCGGCACGGGCACGGCCCGCTCCAACGGGCGGCACTGGGGTGGCACGGCTGCCGGCCGTTGATCCCCTCCCCCCGCTCCTAGCCGTTGGATCCTCCCGTGGGGGCAGGAGGGCTATATAATCCTCCCCGCCGCGGCCACTCCCCCGGCGCTGGAACCCTAGCTCATTCTCTTATCGCTCTCCTCTCTCCTGCCGGTGGAAACCCTAGCCTCTCTCTTTCTTCTCGCCCTCCGGTGGCTGGTTGAGCCATCGATGGCCGGCACAGGCACACGGCACGGCCATCTTTACCCCTCATCTTCATCCCTGAACGTCGATTGAGCCTCGTCCTCTAAATCTTGGCCGCATCAGAGTCTCCTCTCCATCGTCGACCTCGTCGGCTGCCGGCACCTCTGGGGCTCCGGTAAGTGGGTTGCACCCTTAATCTCTCTCAGATCCGGTTGTTTTGAGACTTATAAGCATATTTTAATGGTTTGATTTGTTTGTTTTCGCAGGTCTTTTGCCGAGGCGAGGCCGTCAAGGTACCAGGGGGCTGGATCTATGCGTCGTTGACCTCTTCGGCGTCTCCGGTGCTCCGGCCGTAGAGGTGAGCCCCCTATTGTCAAACCCTAAACCCTAGCTCATCTCTGATCTTTGCTCTTTGTTCTGATATTTACGTTTTTCTTGGTTTTTTGGTAGCCATTGAGGAACCGGAGGCCGGATAGATGGTGGACGAGGATGGGATAGGTCACTCCATGACACGGGCCAGTTTAGTGCTCGGGCGGCACGCCACGCCTGGGTCCGGAGTCGGCACGCACGACACGGCACGCTCCAAGTCACGGCACGCCCAAGAATGATAGTGGGCGTGTGCGTGGAGACCCAGCTCGCACGGCACGGTGGCACGACATGGCACGCCCAAGTTCATCGCCCATGAATGATAGCGTGCCGTGCCCAGCGTGACAGACCCAGCTCGGCACGGCACGACACGCGTTTGGAAAACTATATCATCGACTCACCGTGTACTCGCCTTTCGGGTACGTGAACACTGCACAAAACGCCGTCGATCGGTCGTCAAGTGGTGAGTTAGTCGTTGAAATATAAAGCGAATTCCTCATATTTTCTGTCTGTTTAAATTTTAACGTTGAACTGGTCGATGCATGCACCTTAATAAGTATCATGTAAACTAAAACGAAGATGCATGCTGGCTTTATTTTATGCCACTCCGTATAGACTGTCGTTAACTTTGAAGGCTTTCCCTTCCGGCCAGCCGATGGTATAGTTGAGGGTCCAGCCAGCTTTGTCCCCAATCAGGTAGTACTCCGCGGACGCCGGCACCGGATGGAAGACCACGGCCGCCATTGCCATCGCGGACAATAGCCACCAAGCTAGCCTGCTGTAACTGTAAGCCATTGATAGTGTTGGTCGTGCTGGGCTTCTCCGTTGCTGGTAAACTGCAGGGAGACAGTGGAAGCCATGCATTTATAGAGAACGCATGCATGCTGCTCGAGAGCCTAGTGGAAGCCACGCATGTATGGTCTTGCTGGGCCGCGCGTTTGTAGTGGCCAACGGAATGCTGCATAACAGAGCATCAGAATGTGCCTTGTTTACACGAACGGGCCGGGGCGGTGAAGTTTTACTTTGGAACATCAGCCGCACACAGCAAAAAAGGCAATGTTTGGCATGGCTGAGCAATACGTAACAGCAAGCGTATGAAGGTTCCAGTTGTCATCTTCTTGATGAGAGCTAGCTCGCTTGGATACCGGTACTTGTGCGCCTAAAGCTAGCCCCATTGTATGAAGATCCAACAGCCCGTCTTCATCTTCTATATACATCCAGACAACAACAACATCGACACCATTTTTCCTCCCGAGAGCTATTGCTCCTGCCGCTGCCCCATGTGCCCCTCCTATGCCATATATTGCAGGCGGCTAAGGTCCCCTAGAAGGCTAGAAGCCATGCGTCGTCGGCCCTCTAGAGGGGTGTCTGGTGAGACCCTAGCTACCCTGTTATTTGAGGCATGCACCTTCTTTCACTGCCGTCATTGCGGCGCCCCCCCCCCCCCCACCCCAATCCGTTGTTGTCTTGCCTCGTCGCCCGCCACCAATAGTCACCTCAGACTACCAAAAAGAATAAAGATGTAACACAACTTAAGATATGGGAAAAGAAGAATCTAAATCTCTCATATTTATGAACTTAGGGTTATTTAGCTAAAGTCAGTGTGTCAATTCCCGAGAAGCGTAAAGTTAGACCAAAACCGTGGATTGTGTCCATATATATATAGGTTATACTATTCATAGCATGAGATATAGGTTCTTAATAGTGAAATTTGGAATATAGGACATGCATGTTGGTAAGATGCGCGCTATGTCATCTGAGGACATCTTTCCTATGAAGAGGTGCCAAAAGCTAACTTTGTTACCTTTTATTCTGATATAATCCATTGAGCAAACATTTGAGGGAACTCTTGAGGAGGAAGACAATGAAGCTCTTGGAAAAGAGCATGCTGAGACAAAGAACTACAAGGTCTTTTGGTGATGATTTTATTGTGTATCTCATGGGTGAGACTCCAAGAAACATTTAACATACATTAAGACGTACATATGCATCTCTTGACACTGACCATACGAATGAAATGGCAAGTTAGAGTGAAACGGATTTTATTATGTCTAGTGGAACTTGGAATGTTGCTAATCATCCTTATGGGTGTAAATATATAGGATGTAAGTGGGGGTTCAAAAATAAGCTTAGGCCTAACGGTATGATTGAAAGTACAAGGCGAGACTTGTGCGAAGGGTTATACCCAGAATGACGACAAAGACTTCCCCAATACCTACTCATATGTTGTTAGATTGACTAGCAATCGAGTGCTACTTCTGTTGGCTATCTCTCATGATTTCCTCATTGACTAAATGGGTGTGGAGATGACTTTCCTTAATTGAGAGCTTAAGGAGGAAATTTACATTTAGTAGGCAGATATGGTTTGTGGCACAAATCAAGAAAAAAAAGGTGTAAGTTGTTGAAATTTTTATATGGTCTTTAGACAAGCACCTAAGCAATGGGGATAACAAGTTTGACGGAACTTTAACAACTATATATTGCCTATGTTGTATGTTTTGAATAAACCTGACCAATGTGTCACTACTAGAAAACAGACCTTTCACCCACTTCGATTTTAGCCTTTAGTCTCGATATTTTTTTGCGTTCGGGACTAAAGGACTTTTAGTCCCGGTTCGTAATACGAACCGGGATTAAAAGTCATCTTTAGTCCCGGTTGGTGTCACCAACCCGGAGTAAAAGTTCATTAACTTTTAGTCCCAGTTGGTAACACCAACCGGGACAAAAGGGTGACCTTTTAGTCCCGGTTGGTGTCTTCAACCGGGACTAAAGGTCTTTTACCCGGGACTAAAGGTCTCCCACGAGTCTATTCAAAAGGAGAGCGCACATGACTCTGTCACAAGTGGTGTGCAATTGAGTTGGTAATGTACTTACGCGCGAGGAGAGAGGTGTTGGGTTTGAATCTCATGTAGAGCAAGCGAGGCCTCGAGGATTTCCTTTATTTTTTTTCCGTGGGTGACCTTTAGTCCTGGTTCCCAGACCCGGGACTAAAGATGCACACCTTTAGTCCCGGGAATTTAGTCCCGGTTGGGAAAACCGGGACTAAAGGGCCTTCCCAACCGGGACTAAAACCCGTTTCTCTAGTAGTGTGTGTACAATTTCTATGTCGGGGGAGTGATTTTGTGCTTGTATGTTGATGAGATACTATTATTATGGACTAACATTAATGTGGTTAAGGAAGTCAAAGATGACTTCTCCCAAAACTTCGAGATGAAGTCACTACACCACAACCTTAAAACAACGACTGACTTAGAGTTGCTGAAAGGGGTGTACAACAACGAACAATCAGTTGCTAAAAGTTATAGCGACGGACCCTGCTGTTGCTAACAAAGGCATCGCCCTACTGCTTTGTTGGTGCTACAGTCCTACACGCCGCTTTCTTATTGTGGTGTCATGTCTGGGTGTTGCAGCCTGCCTTACTATGGCCGCGTCACGTCCCCTCCGTGCTAATGCATGACCTGAGCGGCTCAAAGCACCCTAGGATTAGAGTTGCCCTAGGATTAGAGTTCGGAGTGGAGAAGAATCGAAGGATGTAGATGAGGGGTAACATACGCTGTTGATCTAAGGAGGAGCGCTGCGTGAGGGGTGAATGGAGGAGCGCTGTGCGCGCTCGCAGAAGGGGCACCACGTTAGGGCGCGATCGGTGGAGCGCTGCACGCACTCGCAAAATGGGACGACGCGTGTGTGACGGGTGAGCGGTGTTCGGCGCTGCATGTGCTTGCAGAAGGGGGTGTGAGCGAGCAGCGAGCGGAGTGGAGCGCCGCGAGGGCGCGAGCAATGGCGGCGGCGTGTGGAGGGAGGAAATGGCGGTGGCGTGTGGGGGTGTGGGGAGGGGTCTAGGGTTGTGGCTAATTTTTGGGCCAAAAACTTCACGGGAGTGGGCTCACTGGGCTGGCCACGATGCGCTAAGCGCACGACCTTGTTCAGCGACGGACAATTGGACCTAGTTACTAGGGTATAGTGACTGACTGTCCAACGTTGAACTAAAATAGATATAACGACAAACAAGCTATCGAAATACGTAGAATTAGCGACTGAAGGTCTGAAACAAATCTTTAGCGACCAACTGTTTAACGATAATTGTCAACTTTTAGCGACCAACGTCAGACGGCAATTTGGTGTTGTGTTGTAGTGAGTATGTTGGAGTTGTCTGTGTTAGGTTAAACATGAAGCAACTAAGAGAATGTGATGGCAGGTTTACACCCCTGCAGTTTATATTGGAAAAGGTCTTGATTCACTTTGGGTATAGTGACTACAAAACAACTCCAATATTGTATATACTAGTCTATTGTGTTATTATAGAAAAAGAAGCATAAAAGGGGTCAATTGAGATACTCCTAAATAATTAGGTTTTTTATGTATTCAGTTAGCGTGGCAGAGATAAAAAAAACTTAGAATCAAGAAACCTGAAGCTAAACAAACACGATCTCACGAGAAGCCGGGGAGGAGAGCGAGCAGAGCCCGGCCACCCCATCTCGCGCAGGCTCCCACTTCATGGCAAATAAGAAGATTTTTTGAAATCCAAGATATGATCTGTAGAGCCCCCTTGAAGAAGTAAATTATGCTATTTAAAAGTTATTGGGTTATGGTATTGACTATAATAGGTATCTAATGGTGTTGTGAAAGCCCCAAGTAGGTATGCGTTAGTACTTGGAGGCATTGTTGTTTCTTAGAAGTCTTGCAAACAAATCATCTTTATAGGATCAACAATGGAAACCGAACTAAGAGCATCTCCACCTAATCTCCTCGTTAAGTTAGTTTAGGAGAGTACTTTAAGAGAGCATTGTTGTAACAGATTACTTAAACCTTGCCTTCTATATTTTTTTAGGGGTCAGGGATATGGGAGAAGGGGTTGTCTCCTTTATTTAGGAGAAATGATGCTTCTCTTAGGAGATCTCTTAAAATTATAGATATAGAAAATCTGCTGCAGCACGTCGATCTCCCAAAAATATCTGGTGGAGATGCTCTAACAACATTAGTAACTATATATCACTATTGGGGTCAAGTGGTTTCATGAACTCTTACTAAATTTGGTGGTTGCTGATCAAAATTGATGCCACTATCATAACGACCCGTGTTAATCAAATTATGATTGAGGTCAACCGTTCTAAGGACAACACCAAGCCATCAAGTCATGTAAAGGTGCAATTGGAGTCTATCCGGAAAATGATGTGCTCTAGAGTAATACCATTGGACTATGTTGAGGCGGCTATAAACCTAGTAGATACCTTATGAAGGGTTTACCAGATGTTGCATCGAGAGAGATGTGCATAAGACCCACATGAGTCATGTGGTAGCCCTACCCTGTGAGATTAGATACCTGAAGTAGGATGGTTAAGCGAATTTAATAAACCTGATGCTGCTACAAATTTTCCATCAGGCAATTGTAAAAAAAAACCAATGGAATTAATAAAGCTTCTGTCAGGAAGCTCACAGGGAAAAAAATCGATTTCTCCGTCGATGTATTCTTGACCGGATATGCTTGTTGGGCCCTGATAGAATTAATTTTCATGATGTTTTTCCTGTTTCCTTGATGGTTTTTAGCACACAGGAAAATGATATTTCCATTAAACTATTAGCTGACTAGGAGTAGTATAATAGGTTGTCAATAATCTGTAGAGATAAACTTTATTACAATGACCTTATTATATAAGGCTGGCGATACAGCGGACACAGCAAACTCATCAGACCACCTGAATGAAACAGGTAAAAAGGCCGGCAGGCCCCGTATCCGTATACATAGATAGCTT